GTGATTCCATTAATTGCTTTTGGCAAGGCCTTGAGCTGCTGCTGGCTCTGTGTGTGGTGCTCAGGGAGGGGGCCAATTAGGGCCTGCTGGGCGGGGTGGGAGGATGGTTCCTCTGGGACATCCCAACTTCCCTGTATCCTTCCCCAGTCCATCCTGCCCAGGCAACCTTTTCCCTAACCAACACCTCTGCCTGCAGCACTCCTTGGCTCAAAATCCTCCATGGCTCCCATTGTCTGCAGCCATGTGACCCCGTCCCGTATTTTGTAAGATTTCATATGACAAAGAGAGAGAAGGGAAGGGAGAAATCGTCTGTCTAACCCTCTCCTTTTGTAGAGGAGGGGCAGAGACCCAAGCTCACACAGGCAGGAAATGACAGAGCTGGGATTTGAACCCAGGCCTCCTCCATGAAGCCTGCTGTTACCCTGCAGAATCCAATGCTCTAGCCGAATGGAACTTTGCATTGTTGCTCCAATTCAAGTCCATCCGACCCAATTTAATTCAATTAGACAAGCATTTATTAAATGCCTAGGATATACCCAAACACACACTTGTACTCCCCCCCCCTTCCGTGCCTTGGCTTGCGCAGCTCCCCTTGTTACTGGATCACTCCCTACACTCCCCACTGAGCTACCTCACAGGGCAGTGCTGGAGCGTCAATCGAGATAGAGAAGGGAGGATCTGAAAAGGTTTGACCGTCAGGAAGATGGCCCGCTGCCCACTGGGCTCCCCCCCCCCGCCTGATTCTGGCCCGAAAGGGTGGTGGGGGACAGCTCAAATATTCCTTCTGCTGGAAACCTTCCCTGATTTCTCGGCCCACGCTGGGATTTCCCTCCACGGAGCTATGGTCACAACACCATACCCAGGTAGCCGAGGGAACATAGGCCTGGGCTGGAAGGGACCCTAGAGGTCATGGAGTCTAACCTTCTTGTCTTAGAAATGAGGAAACTGAGGCTCCTCAGACAGTAACTTGCCCAAGTTACACAGCTAAAAATACCAACAATAGCTAGTGTTTGTTTATATAATGCTTTAAGATTTGCAAAGGGATTTATAAATATCTCCTTTTAAGTAATAAATAACAAGATTTGTTGCTGTTTATTTTTTTTCTTTATGCTAGGCAATCGCGGTTAAGTGACTTGCCCAAGGTCACACAGCTAGTTAAGTATCAAGGTGTCTGAGGCAGGATTTGAACTCAGGTCCTCCTGACTCCAAGGCAGAGCTCTATCCACTGTGCCACCTAGCTACCCCTACAATATCAGGGTTTGAGGCCAGGTCTTCTGACTCTTAAGGCTGGGTGCCATCTAGTACTTCACACGGGCCAATCCAGGTGATGGGGAGAGCCTCATAAGGCACCCTAGAGCTAGGCAAGGCAGGGACCAGAGGGGTCATCTCTCCAAGCCCCTCATTGGTTGGGCAAAGAAGCTGAGAAAAGGGAGACTGCCGGTCATTAGTGGAGGGCCTTCATGGGTACAGGAACTCATGAGCTTGTGAACATGGGTGAGTCATGTTACCTCTGCGAGCCTCAGTTTTCTGACTGGGTATAAAAATGGCACTTACCCCACAGGAAGGCTGTTGTGAAAAAATGACTGTAAAGGACCCTATAATCAGATGTTACTTATTGTAAGTAATTTTTAACATTAAATTCCTGTGAAGTTGACCCAGAAAGGACAAATTTCCCTAGTCCATCAATTAACAAGCACCTACTGTGTGCCAGGCACTGATACAAGGAGTCTAGTTGGTGGGGGGGAGATAATATGTGCATACATGCACATATACACAAAACATATACATTTGTGGTAGAGGACTCTAACAGCCCCTGGGGGTAGAGGGTGGTCAGGAAAGACCTCACAGTAGAAGGGAACTAGAGGGATTCTGGGAGTTGGAGGTGAGGAAGGAGCGCTTTCCAGACATGGGGACCAGCCAGGGCGAAGTCCTGGAGGCAGATGTCCCCACCTCCCTAGGGGAGGGCAAGTGGGCAGTGTGGCCATCTCCTGATGGTCAAACCTTTTCATATTCTCCCTTCTTTATCTGGATTGACGCTCCAGCACTGCTTGTGAGGTCAGTAGACAAGGGATTAGTGTCTCATCTTACAGAAGAAAATGGAAGCTTCTGGCCTGGGAACTGTTTGCCCAAGGTCACCCAGAGTCAGAGCTGGGATTAGTCAAAGGCTTTGAAGGTCAGAGCTGGTGGGGCCTGCTTACAGACATTCAGGGATGTAGCGGGCTATCTCTACCCAAAGGCCCTCTCCCTCAAGCCTGGAATGCATTTCTTCCTGCTATCTAGGCTTTACAAGTAAGACCACTGGGCTAGCTGAAGGCTTCTTGGGTCCCCCAGGGCCAGCGCTCTCTTCTTCCTCAGTTTCCGTCACATTAGACTTCTCTGCATTCAGGCTGTATAGAACCTTAACTAGGGTAGGGTGACTGGGGCTTTATCCAAGGGTGCTGACACAGGCCAGGGCAGAGTTTCCTCCTCTTGGTGGTGCTATATCCCATGGGGATGGTTCCTGCTTTCCCAATAGGCCTGGGCTGTCCTGATCTTCCCAATACCTGAATTTTCCTTGCACACTAGAATTCTTGAGAGACAATGGACATGGTATAGTGATAGCGAGTTAGCCTCAGAATTCCCATCTACACAATGTGGTCTTTGTGTCCCTGGAGACACTTAACCAGTTAGGACTCTGAGCAACCCTGAAAGACTGTTACTTGCTGAGAAGGCACTGACCCAGAAGGCAGAGGGCAGAGAGAATTTCCTGATTGGGATTTCCTTCTGTGAATAAACAGCCGCCTCTCCAGAATCTACCAGAATTTCCAACGGTGGTTCTGATCTTGTACTCTGCCCACCCACCCTTGACCCCTTGAAGCAGAATGTAGACTACTTGGACAGGAAACTTTTTCTTTTCTTTGATCACTGATTTCCAGTCGCTAGCAGAGGATCTTCTGTAGGATAATAGGCAGGTGCTCAATAAAGGTCTGTTTGAATTATTGACTGAGTACTAGGAAGGGACTTCGGGGTTATCTAAACCACTCCCTCCCCTCCTTTTACAGAGGAGGAAGTGGAGGCCCAGGGTGGGGCAGGGGCTTGTCCAAGGTTACCCAGGTGATAAATGCCACAGGTGGGATCTCCCCTGACTCCAAGTTCCCGAGTTGTTTCCACTGCTCTACATTTCACACTGCAGCCCCCCCCCATCATTTTGCAGGTAAAGAAATTAACCCTCCCCTCCCCCCCCAGAACCCATGGGTCTCAATCATCAAAATCACATCTCTTTGTATCACAGCTCAGTGCTTCCCCATCATGGGGCTGGAAAGGACAGAGAGAATCATGGGAGAGATCTTGGAAAGTATCTGTGCTCGGACTGTCCTGACTCAAAAGCCATCTGTTTAAGCTCCCCCCTCAACACAGAGGACAAGTAAACGATCATGCCACCTTTACTTGAAAGTGCCCCACTGATGCTTACTCACTCATAGACAGCTCAGATGTGCAGTGGATAGAGCTGGGCCTGGAGTCACATCCATCCAGCTGTGTGACCTTGGGCAAGTCACTAATGCATTTGCCTCAGTTTCCTCATCTGTAAAATGGAGTTGATAACAGCACCTACATTCCAGGGCTGTTTGTAAAGATCAAATGAGACAATATCTATAAAGTGTTTAGCACAGTGTCTGGCATAGGGTAAGCTCTATGTAAATGCTAGCTGCTATTATTATTATTATCATCATTATCATTATTATCATTATTACTCCCTATGTGATCTCAGGTCTCTGTTTCCTCATCTATAAAATGAAGGGGCTGGACTTGAAGGTCTCTGGGGGCCCTTTCAGCTCCGGGCCCATGACTTCCAGTGGGGAGGGTCTGGTCTGTCTCTCACGGCTTCTCATTCCACTCAAATGTTAGAAATACACCCTTCTTATTTTAGGGACTGGACATTGAGGCCCAGAGGGCCAAAGGGACGCCCCTTAGTGAGGCTTACTCAAGAGTGAGGGCTATTCAGGAGCACGGCTGGAATCCAAGCTCAGGTCTGATGTCCAGTCAGGTGCTGGTAGCCCCCTGCACCATGCTTTCTCAAGGCCATGTACAACTGGATAAGCAGGTGAGGGGACCTAAGGAGTGTGAGGCTTAGCAGATGCCAGGGCCAAATGCTGCCCAGTTTCTCAGGACATAGTGAAAGTAGCTCTTTCCAGGCTAGGGAAGGTCTCCTGAAGGTTGGGTTGGGTAAGCCCTCTCGGGAGAGCTTGTGGAAGGATGGGGATGAGAAGGCTTGCAGGGGCTGTAGAGCTCATCCCCAGCACTGAGATCCTGGATGAATGAATGAAAAAGCGTCGTTTTAGCACGGACTAGGGGCATGGTAGGGGCTTGAGCGCCAGGCATACAAAGAGAAGGACCAGCCAGTGCCTGGGGCTCTAAGGTAGCGCACGTTCCAATGGGTCCGCGCAAGGCTATTCCCGTCCTAGGATGAGGGGCTAACAGCAGCCATCTCTCCAGGCTTTCAGCATTGCAAAACATTGCCATCCTCTCACCAGCCATGGGAGGGAGGCCATGCCAGGCTTCCAGTGCCCATTGTACAGATGAGGACTCGGGCACAGAGCTGGGGAAGGGCCTGCTCCAGGCTGGCAGGTCTAGGACCCGCTTCTTCAGACCCTCTCTCCGCCCCCCCCCTTTTATCATCCGTATTTTGCAACAGAAGGTGGGGGTGTGGGGGTGGGAGCGGTACTGCCCAGGCCCACTAGGGCCACTCGCCCCGGGCCTCCCCACCGACAACAACACGGAAGCGCAGGAGGGCCAGCATCCTCGCGATGTGCGCGTCATGATGAGTGTCGCGAATAAGGATGAGGAATCACCAATGGCCAAGGGCCCTCGGGAGGGGGAGGGGAAGGAACGTGCCCACCGGGCTCGCCCCGCCCCTCCCCGTGCCCCGAGCGCAGCCCGGCCCCCCTCCCCGACCCCCTCCCCCGGGGGCGGGGCCGCGCGCGCGTGGCGGTGGCGGCGGTGGCGGCGGCGGCGCGGGGGGGCCAGGGCCTGGCCGCGCGCGGAGGCTGAGCCCGCCCCGCCCGCCGGGGAGGGGAGCGTCACGGAGGCTGCTTGAAATGCAGCGGAGCCCGAGCCGGAGCCGGAGCCGGAGCCCGAGCCCGAGCCGGCCGCAGCAGCCCCGCGGTCCGCACTCGGCCGGCTGAGGGCGCGGGGCGCTGTGGGGGCGCCGGGACCCCCGGGACCCCCGGGACCCCCGGGACTCCCGGCCATGGGGCGGCCCGAGCTGCTGCCGGCGCTGCTGCTGCTGCTGCTGCATCTGCTGGCCCCAGGTGCGTGCGGCTGGGGAAGGGGGGAGCGGGGGGGGAGGGGCTGCCTCCGGCGGGGATGTGTGGGGAGAGGGGGGCGAGGTGCGGGGCCGAGCCCCTAGCCCCCCCCGGCCGCCGCACAAAGCCTGCTTGGGGTTCCTCCACCTTAGCCGCAGGCCATTGTCAGAAAGAAGACCCCCCCCTCCGATGGGGAGGGGGCGCTATGGGGATGTAGGGGGGGCGTGGGAGGCCGAGACCCGAACTTCAGCCTCTTCATTCTGGCAGTAGGAGAGGAGCTGTGATGCCCGCTCCCCTCTATGCCTGCACATCCCGCCCCCCCTCCATTCCGTCCATCAGGGACTGGGGGCTTTGAGGGTGTGCAGCTGGCAGAGGGGGGTGGGGAAGATGCTTTAACTTTGTCTCTTTCATCTTCTGGGGCGGGGAGGGGGTGTGATTTCCCCTCCCTTCTATGTGCATCCTCTCCACTCCATCCCCCCCACATCCCCGCCTGGCACACGGTTCCTCTAGGATGGGGGTGCTCCCCGGGACAGAGTCAACCTGTCCTACAACCGAGTCCTAGGGGAGGAACCTACCCTACCTTGGCACCCCTTCCTCTTTGCCTGGACTAAGGCCAGGGTCTAGGGGAGGGTATGTCCTTTCCTCCCTGGATTTTTGCGCGCCCCCCCCATCCCCTCAGTAAGGGACTAGGCTAGCAAGGGCTGGGGTGGGGGGGGCATATCTTTAAACTTTGTCCCTCTTACTATGAGACCTTGAGGGATGTTCCCTCCTTTATCTCTGACCCTCCCGGAAACACTCCCTCTAGGCATGGGGTATTTAATACCCAAGACTGGGGGGCTTTGAGTATCTGTGGGTTGGGGAGTTCTCTTAACTTTGTCCCTTCACCTTAGCGATAGGGGAGAATGATGTCCCTCCCACCCCAAGCACACACCCCCTCCTGGGATGGAGTGCCCAAGAGCTGGGGGAAGAGATAATCTTAATTTCACCCCCTTCATTTTAGCTGTGGTCCTTGTCCCCCACATACCCCCAGAATGGGAACTTTCGGGTCAGGGAGTGCTGAGGGTGTGTGCGGGTAGGGGATGGCTTAACTTTGTCCCTGTTTTATGTTAGCCTGGAGATGCCTACTCTCCTGTATCTGTATGTCCCCCCTCCCCAATTCCCGGGGCTTACAGAGTTGAGGGGAGTGTGTGCATTGTGGAGAAAATTGTTTTCTTTACTAAGTAACACCGCCTTGGCCCCCCCCCGAAGATGGGGTGGAAGGGTCACTCCCCACCCCTTCTCCATTTGCTGCCCCTCCCATCTGCAAGCTCCCTTCTTCCAGGCACCGGCAATGGAGACTCAGATGCTGCCTGGATTCCCCCTTCCCCCAGCCCATCCAGGAGTAGGCACTTTGGGGGGGATGTGAGAGGGGGCCCCAAATTGTGTTTAGGGGTGTTAGAGAAGTGTAGTCTTTTATTTAGGGCTGCTGGTAGTTTATTTTCCTTCTTTCATTTTCTTTCACTGCTGTTCTTGGCATCCTTACACATGTGTGTGGGGGGCAGGACACCCAGACTGTGGTGAGCCTCCGCTCTGAACCTTGCCCTTGTGTTCTGAGGGTACAGGAGTGGGGTGGGAGGGACCTTAGAGATGCCCCCACCTTGGGCAAGGCCAGGATTGGATGAGGAAAGATGAGTTGCCTAGGCTAGACAAGCTATGGGGGGGGGGAGAGGAAGGGACAGTGAGAGAGGGAGTGACACTGCCCTCCTAGGGGTGGCTTTTCTTGGGAAAGGGGAGGGGGGTGAGGTCTCCAGCCCTCTTTGGGATCTGTGGTTCTTGGGCTTCTAGCCTTTGTGGCTGCTAAGAAGAGGCCCCTCCCTCATCAGCCCTCTTTGCCTGTGTCCTTCACTTATCCCCCCCAATTATTGCCCCTTTTCTTGTTCTCACCACTGAAACTGTTGGGGGCATCGATTGGGAAGGGGCACTCAAAGGAAGAGGGAGACTGAGTCTCTGGGCTTCAGTTGCCTATCTGCAAAATATGCAAGGGGTTGGACTAACTTGACAGGGCTGGCACTGGTGCCAGTGTCTAGCACTGTGCCAGGTCCATTATAGGAGCTTAACGTGCTTTTTTGGGGTGACTGGGATTGAGGCTTTCCAGGGCCCTTTCAGTCTCTCAACCTATGGGTCCCCAAAGAATGGGATGAGCCACTGTTCAGTTTTGTGTATGTGGCGGGGGCCTGGCTTAGGTGCTGATTCTTACACTATTGCTCTTCCCTACCCCCTTTTCAGGGGCTGCCAAGGAGTGTGAGGAGAACCAGTTCCAATGTGGGAACGAACGCTGTATCCCATCAGTCTGGAGATGTGACGAGGACAATGACTGCGTGGACAACAGTGACGAGGATGACTGCCGTGAGTGCCGGCCCCCTGCTGCCAGCGCCGGGCATAGGGGGAGGGGGGAAGGTGGCAGCTCCTAGGCCATGCTGTCCACGTCTGTCGGGGTCATCCTTGAGCTCTTACTGCCCTTCGGGGAGGAGAACCCAGGCTCCACGGGGAGGAGTGGGGAAATTGCGGCGGGGAAGCCGTTACAAGGCTGCCCTTGTCTCCACCCTCAACCTTGGCTCCTCCGGGGGCCTGGCAGTCTTAGTCAACGCTTGGCTATGTTCAGAGGTGCCCAGTGCCTTCCTGGCGTGGGGGAGGAGATTAGGGGGCCCTGGGGCCAGGAGCAGCGGCTGCCCCTAGCCTGGCCTGGCTCACCCACCACCCGTGGCCCTGAGTCTCTTGCCCGGCGGCGGGTGCGAATGGCTCTGCTTAGCGCGGCCGAGACACATCTATGGGGCGGCATTGGGAAACGTGGGTGACTCAGCCGACCGCGGAGGGGTTTCCAAGTTGCAGGCCCCAGCTGCGGACTGCCGGTGCTCCCTTCCCCTTCTGGCTTTTTTGTGAATGAATGGGCTCCCCCCGGGCCCTGATTGGCTGGGCTCGCAACACCAGATAGGCCTCATGGCCCGAGCGGCCAATCGCCGGCTCGGGACCTGGCCGCTGTAGTATTAGGTCCCACGCCGGGGACCCAGCCTTTCTTTCGTCTCCCGGGCTCTCCTTCCTCCTCCTCTTCCTCCTCTTCTTCCTCCTCCTCTTCCTTCTCCATCACCACGCCCCTGACACACCCCGTCCCCTCCCACTGTACTTTCTATTTTGCCAAGTCACCTAAGGAGGTGAGTGGGTTCCGGAGGTGAGGAGAAGACAGCGCTGCGGGGGAGGGCTCTGCCGGAGGAAAAGGCGGGGTTCATATTCCTGGAAGCACCAGGGGCTTGGGGCCTCGGGCTGTGGCAACTTTCTATTGGCCCAGCTCAGAGTTTGCCGCTTGGGGAGAGATCTCTGGGGGGAAGGGAGTATCCCCTCCTGGGAGGGTGAATCATCAGCATCCGTGTGTTGGGGCGTGGGAAGGGGAACAGCAGTGACCCCAGGAGGCCAGCTCCTCTGGTAGCCCTGGGCTGGGCTGGGGGGGCTGGTGAGAGCCCAGATACCTGAACGTGTGGCCTCTTAGCCCTGTTCTCCAGGCCAAGGCTCCTCCCCTCTGTGGGCCCACGTCCTCATGGCCCATAGAATGGAGCCGGCCTAGACCAGGGGTTCCTAGCTTTGTGCTCTTCTCCGACCACTTGGGCAGTCTGGGGAAGCCCGTGGAACTCTCCTAGGGATAATATTTTTAAATACATACAGTAAAATACCCAGGATCACAAAGAAAAACCATTCTAATGCAGGAGGCTGAGAGTTTTCACTGGCTGCCCCCATGCTTAGAATTCTCTCCCTCCTCATCGGGGGCTCTCCTGGCTTCCCTCATGTTTCCCCCAAAGCTCTCCCTAATCCCCTAATTCTAGTATCTTCCCTCTGCAGATTAATTCCAATTTCTCCTGCATATATCCTGTCTGCACAGAGTGGTGGCATGTTATCTCCCCCATTCAACTGGGAGCTCCGTGAGGGGAAGGGACACCTTTCTGCCCTTTTTTGGGGGGATCCCCATCCCTAGCACCATGCCTCCTATGCCTTTTAATACTTGTTGGCAGACTGAAACAGCCCCTGCCCTCAGGGAGCTTGGATGCTTTGGGGAGAGACAACTTATATCTATAAGATTATATTCCTAATTAATTGCAAGGGGGCTGTGAGGGGGAGGGTGGGCTAATGCTGGGAGGTTGGGGGTCAGGATAGGCTTAGGATGTTGAGCTTAAACTGTGTTTATTTCAGAAGGAAGTGAAGGAGGAAGTGGATTTTAGGAAACCAGCTTTTTAGCACTAGCACCAGAGGTACTTTGCCTGCCAGTGGGCAGTGGAGTGCAGCAGAGGGAGGGAGAGAGAGGTGGCTGGGCCCTGGGTTGTGGAGGGCTTTTTTCCTGGCTGGGGAAGGAGGCCAAGGTTTGGTCCCTGCCGTGGGAGCTTCCTTGGGAGAGAAGATAACTGAGTTGGAATGTGACTGAGCTAGAGACAAAGTGTCTTCCTCTGGGAAGACCAGGCCCCAGCCCTTCACCTCTCTTATCTCCTCAGGCCCCGAATAAGGCAGATAAAAGTTCTGGCCAGGCTCTGGAAGGCACTGGGGGCCACCTGGTTAGGGCCTCTCTAATCCACTTCTCTGTGTTATCTCACATGGGCAGCTTAGAGAATCTTCCAGCTGCCAGGCAGAGGGCCTTTGGTGAGATTCCTTCCTTCCTTCCTTCCTTTTAGGCAGCTGGGCAGCAATGGCTAGAGCCCTGGGCCCAGGTCAGGGAGACCAGAGTTCAATTCCAGCCTCGGACACTTAACATCTGAGTGCCCCTGGGCCTCAGTTTCCTCAGCTGTAAAATGGGGGATAATAGCACCTACCTCCAGGGTTGTCATGAGGATCGATGAGATATTTGTAAAGCACTGTGGTAGCCTTTAAAGCATCATGTAAATATTATTATTATTATCCTCATCTAGGAGGTAGAATTTGAGCTGAGGTTTAAAGTCTTCTCAAGATTCTAAGATGCAGTAGAGGAGGGAGTGCATGGGAGATGGAGTGTGTAGGTGTGGGTCAGGGAAGCAGAGGGGATGGCAAAGAAGCTTAGTAGGATTGGGAATATGGACCGTGTGAGGGGAATCATGGAATAAGGCAGGAAAGGGAAGCGGGGTCAGATCTCAGAGGCCCTTGCCAAAGCCCATTGGTGTCTCTGAGGAATGTGCCTTCTCCACTCTGGGCCTCAGTTTCTCATTCTGTAAAATGAGCCTGTCAAAAGTCCGTTTCAGCTCTGTCATTGTATGGTTCCTTTATGATTGTTAGTATCCAAAGGCAGTGTGGTATAATGGTTAGAACCATACATAGACCAGAAGCTGAGGTCTCCTACCTAACCGTTTTCTAACTCTGTGACCTTGGGTGAGTCACACCACCTCTGCCGGCCTCAGTGCCCTCACCTGTATAATGAGTTTGATGTAGTGATCTAAGCGTTCTCTTGTGTAAGTAAGAGAGGACCAGTTATGCTTCCTCTGCCCACCACGCGAGCCTCTGGGCTTTGCAAACGTTACTTCCCCATAGAAAAGCCAGGGCTTGCTGTGAGGGGAGGGTCTTGGAGGCCTGGGAAGAAACCAGGGGTGAGAGGCCCTCTCAGGATTGTGTGCCCCTCATCCCAGCAGGTGCCTGGCCTGGAAGGGCCCAGTGTGGGGTGAGAGCTGTCAGTGGGAGCTGGAAAGGGGGGGATGGTGAAAAAGGCCTCTGTTCCTTCTCCAGTCCTGGGTGGGGGAGAACAAGGCTCCATCTGAGTTCAGGGAAGGACCCACCCGCCGGGCCGGGACAATCAGTATTGAGAGCAAGCAGTTCACACAGGGAAGTCACTAAGCCAGTGGGCTCGGGTTAGCAGCAGGAGACCAGACTATTTCTGTGTCGAGGAGGTGGGGCCTCCCCAGCATCGCCTGGCTCTCCTCCCTGATCCGACACCACTGGACTCCCTCTATCCCCTGGCCAAGCGGAATCTTTAACCCTCCTCCTCCCTGGCTGGATCCTGCCTAGCCTGTCTGTCCCTGCTGCATCCCTGCCCCGACCCCATTACCCCAGGGCCCGGGCAGAGGGGTCAGGATGAGAAGCAGTGTCATGTTGTGGCAGGAGGCCGAGGTGGGAGCCAGCCCCTCTCTGCCCCAGCTGACATGCTCTTTGTAAGTTTCTGTGGCTAGGAAAATTCATCCCCTGCTGGCCAGCCTTCTGGTGATAAGCCCGTCCACACTTATCAATGTGGTCTTTGAATGACAGCTAGGTGGGGCCTGCCAGGGATCTTGGCACAGTCTGGGAGGGCCTGGGTCATGTCTGTACCACTGAGGCATCTGAGCATTTGAGAGGAGGATAGTATAATATGACAGGTTTTCCTATCCCAGGCCTGATGATCTCTGATCCTTGAAACTTGGTTGAGAAGAGGCCAGGGCAGCCGCCGTCGAAGGTCAGAGGCAGCCAGACTTGCTAGAGGTCACACAGCTGATGCTGACTTGGGAGAATTGGGAGATATGATCTCTGCCCTTGGGCAGCTGCCAGTCCAGAACAGACACACACAGATTCCTGTGAGGGCTCTATGCTTAGTGGAAAGACCACGGGCTGGGAAGATGTGTGTCTGAATGAGGGGGAAAAGACTCAGGTTGGAGTGCAGGATCCTTGTGACCTGGGACAGGTCCATTTTGGTTCTCTGGGCCTCAGTTTCCCCATTTGTAAAATGAGGGTGGGGAGAGGTAGAAGAGATGGTCTCTAAGGCCCCTCAACTGACTTTTTTAAGATTCTCTAATCAAACAGAGATACCTCAATAGGAGACAGTCCAATGGCCTTCTCTGATGCCAACATAGAAGTGGGAAACTTCCACACTGGGAGCGCAGGCCCCCAACAGCGGGTGTGTGCAGTGAAGGCAGCTGAAGGAGAGCTGGAATAAGACCGCAGATGGAGTCAGTTACCACCTCTCACCTCATACAGGAAGCCCCTGATAGGCTGGTCATCCTGCTTCTGCTTGGATCATTCCACTGATGAGGAGCTCACTACCTGACAAAGTAGCCTACCTGTTGTTGGATTGAGGTGAATAGGTTCTTCCTTTCCAAGTGGAAGAGAGTGGGGGGAAGGTGGGAAGACTGTTGTTAAAGGAAAGGTCTGGAGCTTAAAGATTGAGGGGTGGGGTACCCCTGCTAGGGAAAGAAGTAACGTTAGGCCTTGGAGGCAGACAGTTCTGCTATACCTCCCCATCCCTCTCCCCCATTCCCAAATGACCCAGCTTGAGGCTGATGGTGGCTGGCCAGCTCTTAGTAGGACCTAAACCTGGCTGACTGGGGCTGGGCAGTCCTAAGTAGGACCTAGACCTGGTTGACTGGGGCTGGCCAGCCCTTAGTAGGACTGAGACCCAGGAATGGTGTAGGGGATGGGTGGTGGCAGCTTTGGGATGG